ATCAAAGTTTTATTGAGCCTGTGGCTGGTACCAGTGGTGTAACTGGGCGAGAAATTGTCGCGTCAGCAGCATCTCGCCCAGCCAAGTGCCACCGCATGGCACCACATGAGGCACCAAGACCCTCGTGTTCACGTGCACCCACCTCACGTGCACGTAGCCGCCGTGCTTCTCGCAGACGGTATTCAGCTCCTGGTCGCCGGTATGCATCGCTTCCTCGCCGTCTTTCCTCTGCATCTCGCAGGACGCCTGGTGTACTTGAGTGGAGTGATGGTGACGATTTTATTCCTAATATTCCTCACTTTGACGATAAAGATGTAGGGATTACAAACCTTTTCCCTAATCAAGGTGAGGACATGGCTGAGATGGAATATTTTACAGCATTCTATGATGAACCACTCATGGAATACATTGTACACCAAACGAACCTGCATGCTGCTTACCTGATTGAGAGGGAAATCACAGAATTTTCACGACTGCAGCGTTGGAAAAATACCACAGTGGCGGAAATGTATGTGTTTTTGGCACTCTGTTTGTTGATGAAGCACTGTCACAAACATGCAATAAATGACTATTGGAGCAAGGACAAGACAATACCAACACCTTTATTCGGGAAATATATGTCACGAGACAGGTTTCAGATACTCCTCAGGTGTCTACATTTTGGAAGTGTTCAGGACCGAACACCTGATGATAGACTGTGGCGAGTGAGGCACTACATGAACGATGTTATTGGAAAATTCAGAGATTTTTACGTACCAGCACAGAAGCTGGTGGTTGATGAATCTCTCATACTTTTCAAGGGACGTGTTCCATTCAAACAGTACATTCCCTCAAAACGAAACCGATTTGGCCTGAAATTTTTTGTTCTTTGTGATTGTGAGACAGGATACGTGTTACACATGATTCTGTACTCGGCTAGTGATGTAGACATTCCCGGTAACGACGAACATGGGTTCTCGGGGAGTGTAGTGAAGACCATCATGGCTCCGTGGATGAACAAGGGACACATTTTATACACATTTAATTACTATACAAGTCCCTTGCTAGCTCGGTTCTTGCTAGAAAATAGAACCGGATTGGTTGGTACAGTAAAGCCACAACGAAGGGAAATGCCTGTGTTTGACAACGACATTGCAGTTGGTGAGTATCAGAGAAGGAAAAGTGATAACATTCTGTCAGTTCGGTGGAAAGACAAAAGAGAGGTGAACTTGTTGACAACAATTCATGATGGAACAATGGTGAACAGTGGGAAAGTGAGCCATAAAACAAACGCACCACTATATAAGCCAGACTGTGTTTTAGACTATAATATCAACATGCGGTTGATTGATAAATCAGACATGATGATTGGCACTGCAGAGTGTGTGCGGAAGACATGTAGGTGGACGAAAAAAGTGTTCTTCCATCTTGTGGACATGAGCATGCTGAACTGTTTCAACATGTACCTTGTGAGAACTGGACGTAAGCCCACTTTCCGTGACTTTGTATTTGATGCTGCAATACAGTTATTAGGAAAGTTTGCAAAAGATGTCCCAGGTATTCAGCGGCCCATCATAAACCCACTGTTGCAGCATGCTGGTACTCCACGCCTCGCTCACACTGAAGGCTTCCTAGCACACAAACTTAAGTATTTGCCACCTGGTGTGAAGCGTGCAATAGCCCAACGTGATTGCTTGGTGTGTAAAACAACGACACGTAGAGACAAGAAACGGAAGCTTGTGCAAACATGGTGTGAAACGTGTGGTATCCCATTATGTGCTGTCGACTGTTTCAATGACTACCACAGTCTAGAAATCTTCTAAGTGTGCTTCAAAGTGTGTATAGCGTGTGCGAGTGTGTAAATATGTAAACATATAAGCAGAACATATAATATAATAGACTGTAATGACATATTATATTGCCGTAATTGAAAACATTTGTGTGCGCCTGTGTATACTCAAATATGCAACAATTATTGATACAAAATATGTTCAAACAGTATTTGAAACACAATTAGTGAAAAAAAATTAGATAAAATGCGCTTAGACATTGTAAATAAATAGCGCGAAAATATATTTGTGGCAACTCTGGCTGTTTGAGGACCGCGCGCAACATCTCCCGGGCGTGTACTGCATGAGCGACCATGCAGATTGTGACGTCATCACAGAGCTTCTCGGCTCTATTGCAACAAAAGTAAGTACAATAGAATTTTTTTTTTATTTTTCCCGTGATCAGTGAACAGAACTTAACAGATTAGCAAAAAAAAAAAATTTTTTTTTTTTTCAAAATGACATGCGCCTGTGTGGATAGCAGGATATTAGACCCCGAGCATGTTAAGGGTTAATGCCCTCCTCCGGCGCCTGGGTTCGGGTCTTTTTGGTTCTCCTAATAAGTTGGTTCGCTTGCAGCCGTCTCCTTCTTTTCTGGCGTAGACTGGCATGGCTGCTTTCTGGAAGGGTCCTTGGGTTATTGATGCATGGTTGGTCTGGCCGGAGGTGCATACTGTGTTGTGTTCGGTTGCGGCACTTCGCCGTGCTTGGTGTGCCACGGCTGCCGTGACCAGGGTCACGCTTTGGGTTGTTCCGGGTTCCCCACTTCTTTATTCCAGGGAGCGGTTCTTTCGGCTCGTCCGTGGGGTGGTTCGGTTTTGCCAGCCTGCGGTCTGTCACCTTGCACATGTCGTTCATAGGTTGACTCTGCGTTCCTTCGTTGATGTTCCTGAGCCTTGTCGGGCCTGTGTGGTCTTGGGTTGGCAGTTGTTGTTTTGTCTCCGCTTCGCGTTGGGGTGTGTGCTACTTCTGTCTCCCAGGTTAGGTCCCTCTTGTTTTCGTCTTTGGGTAGGTAGTTTTGGGGAGCCGACGGGGCTTCCAGAAAACCAGCGTTGAATGTAATGAAAGGCCATTTTCTGGGTGAGTCCCAGATGATCCCCAGCAACCCTCCCTCCCTCCCTCTGGTCGGCGATTTTCGTGGGTTTTTGATATCCAGCCTCAGAACTGGTGTGTGGATGGCTGGCGCGGGGGTCCGGGGCTCCCCCTTCCCCCTCCCGGGAAGGGGGGGAGCTGCGCAGATGGGGGCGTGGCGACGTGTGAATTCATATTCGTTTGCTCATTTCGGTTTGAGGAGTTCTGGTCACTTGTTCGGCTTTTTGTAGCAATCTTCACCAGAATAGGGGTTTGTTTTGGGACGCCTATCTTTCTGGGTGCCCAGTCGATGGCAGACAGAATGCTTTCAACTACACAGGGGTTTCTATAGGCCATTGCTCCTCGTGCCTCTGTGAGGGATGTCAGATTCTGGCTCGTGGTTCCCGGTAGGCCCACAGAACTCCATACACATGCAAGCGATGAGTCACAATAACGTGGCTGAAGTATGTTGACCAGACCACACACTAGAAGTTGAAGGGACGACGATGTTTCGGTCCGTCCTGGACCACTCAAGTCAATTGTGATGAGGAGGTAGAGACAGGCAAAAAATAGGCAAGAGAGAGCTGAGGAGGAAAGTAAGGTGTAGGGGATAGTAGTAATAATGAGAACTGCAGAGGGCCTATTGGCCCATACGAGGCAGCTCCTATTATAACCACCGAATGAGAAGGAGATAGTAATAGGAAAAAGAAGAGGATAGCAAGGGAGCGTAGGAGAAGACAATGAACAGAAAAAGGGGAGAAAAGAGAAAGAAAAGGAAAGAGAAAGAAAGATAAATGGAAGGGGTAAGCTTATGTTGTCACGTTTGTTAGAAAGATAGAGCATTTGAGTATATACAGTGAAAGGGAAGAGTCCACAGCAACAAAGCCAGGACTCAAGTTCATGTTGGGTACATTGTGTATCAGAGCCGATTCTACAAGATGGCGTCTGTGTAGAGTTGAGGCAGGAAAGCTTATTTTGGAGGAAGACCAATCAAAGACCTCCAAAATAATCTTAAGCTGCGGCTTAACCTTGCAATCGCCAGTTGCCCTGGCGCAGAGCACGAGGGTAAGACGATCCTTCATCGGTTTGTGGCCAGGCAAAGATTGTTCCTCTTGCGTGATGTAGGTCTTCTTCGTCATTTTCTTCCAAAACAGGCCAGTCTCCTCACAATTGAAAACCTGTTGGGGCAAGAACTACTCCCGAACAACAAATTCCTGGAACTCTGGCACAAATTTCTCAGCAACAGCTTTATCAGAGCTGGCAGCCTACCTATGTCGCACAACATTGTGTACACCGCTCCTCTTCCTAAAGTTCTCAAACCATCCACAGCTTGCCTTAAATATCTCCTCATCTTCAGACGATGCACCTGGTGTCTTCCTGACAAGGTCCACATACAGCACCCTTGCCATAGCACAAACAATAGCTTCAGAGACACTATTGCCATGTAATTGTCTTTCATTCATCCAGACCAGTAGTAGCTTTTCAACATCATCTGCGAGTTTTGAATGTTTCTTGGTAACCTTGGTAACTCCTTTATCCACTTCAAGCTTCTTAAATTGTTCCTTCCTCTTCAAAATGGTGCAGATTGTTGATGAGGACCTGTCATACTCCCTGGCGAGATCAGTCACACAGATACCACACTCGTGCTTTGCTTCTTCACTTCCACAGTAATTGTCTCTTTCTTCCCCTTGCCAACACTATCTTTAGCTGCTTCTTTGACAACATCGTGTGTTAACAATTGTAGTCACAAAACCCACGAAAAGCACGATTATATGCAGAGGGATGCTTTTCTGCGATACAACAACACTGTCGTCGGAGGCGTCCGAGAAGCAGCGGGAACGCGCCATGTGGTTTTCTCGTTAATCAAATGAACGCTCGCCAATCGAGACAAATTGTCGGCGATCGGCACACTCGTTATTCAAAATGCTCGTAGATTGAGGCACTCGTCACTCGAGGTTCCACTGTAATTATTGTGAGTGTGTGTGTGGGGGGGGGGGGGGCAGTATCAGTGACCCAGATGTAGCAGCAAGCAATTGAATATATATTGGATTGGATTATCTTGTCTTTATATATAATTTGCCACATCAAGTGTGAACTTGCTCATACATGCATTGTTTTCAGGTGACTGGAGCTGGGAAAAGGGAATCATCAGCTATCTCTAGTAATATAACTCCACAATACCAAAAATGGTGAGTAGAGTTCATAATTTTGTTGCATGTTTAAAATGTACTATTGATCATTGTAAGGATGAAGTATTGTATAATTGCTTAAAAAATGAATTATAAAGATTCATCATGGTCGGACTGTGTGCTGCATGCACTTTCTTGCCTGCAGATGATCTTGAATCACCATTTTTTTTTTTTTTTTTTTTTTTTTTTTTTTTTTTTTTTTTTTTTTTTTTTTTTTTTTTTTTTTTTTTTTTTTTTTTTAGTTGAGTTTCATGGTCTTCCTCCTCCTCCTCCTGTTGCTCAAGCTGTTCATGGATGTCAGACCTCAACTAGGGATTCGTCTACAACATCCTTCATGTGGATCATTGACGGTGGGTGCCTGTTGCCTCTCCATTGAATAGATGGCTTCCAGTCTATGTGGTGCCATTATTTGATTGCAAGGCGTCTGTGGTGGATGCATTTTGTCTGTACTGGGTCTTTACTGCTTCCATCTGATCTCATCGGAGTGGTAGATGGACAAGACTTTCTTTCTTTTCCTCTTTCTTGGTTCAGTCTGATCTCAGTGGAATGGTAGGTGGACAAGGCCTCCTTTCTCTAGCTTTGTGAGATGTTCCATTGTCTCCAGGGAACATTTGACTCAGGGTGTAATCAGTGGCTATCAGTCTTCATGGAGCCATTTCCAAATCATGTACATGCCTTCTTTCCTCTGGTGCAACTTCTTTCCATGGTGGCCAGGCTGGTGATGTTTGCAAGCCAAGTCCTTCTGGGTTTAATGTGGCCATTCAGCCTTGGATTCCAGCTCCTCTGGCTCATTTTCCAAATCCTTTCATCTACCCATATGTTATTCCGAGTTGATTGGCAGCTTGATCTCTCTGGATGTGTGAAACTCTTTGGTGATCTTTGCGTATGAGTTTTTAGGCATTGTTTGCCTAAAATGGGCTTGGTTGGTGAACCTGTTGGTGGCACATTTGTGGCCTCTCTCCATAGCAATAGTATAAGTTGGCTTGGCAGGTCTTTCACCTATGCATATTTCCTTGGTTTCTGTCATCGGTGTTATTTTGCAATGTGATGTCTTTTTCTTTCCTGGCTATTCTTGGATTTCTAGTTAATTCCAAATATTGTTGCCTCACATCATTTGGCTTTTGCCTTTTGCTGGGTTTTGGGGTTGATGTTACTTCCAACCTCCCTTTTCTAAATGTTTTGACTGGTTTTCTCCCCACTGTCCAAGTCATGCCCCTCTGGAGCCTTCTTGGTAGCTGGATCAGGTGGTGTCTTTTTGTCTTTTCCTGGCTTTTCAGTTTCTTCCTCTGTTGCAAATTCCTTTTCTAAAGCAGCTCCATGCTCTTCAGAAGGGCAGATTTTGTTCGGTTGTGCCTGGTCTTAGTTTTCTTTGCCTCCATCCTTCGGTTTTGGGAAAGGATGAGACTGCCTTCTAGAGAAGCCCTTCTTTCATTGGCACCTTGTTTATCTGACTGGAGGTGCATCATGTATTTTACCCTCTGACTGTCATCCTATTTGTGTAAAACTTGTGGTGTGGGGGTTGGTGATTTGTCAATGAAGTCTCTCACATTCCTTGTTCTAAGGCCTCTCTCTCCCAGGTTATCCAGTGATAGTTTGGCTTTGCCAACCAACAGTTTATCTCTACTTTCATGGTGTATGGAAGTAAGCTACATGAGCTACTGAAGGGGACCGTTCCAAAATTCAAGAGTTGAATGTAATGAAATATTTGTTTTTCATTACAAGCATTTTTCTTGTTAGGTACTCAGAAGCTTCCTGTATCTGTCCTATTCCCTTCTTCCTCATGGTATTGGAGCTTTTTTTTTTTTTTTTTTGTTCTGGCAGCAAATAAATGAAATGGTTAGCTGGCGATCAAGGCTGCCATCTGGTAGCAGGCTGGTGTATAACTGCTTTAGTATTTATTTTGTAGTAAACATTACCTTGTTTGCCTTATTCTCCTCATGTTTACTAATTTCCTTCAAGAACTTGCTTGCTTTGTGCTTATACTTTCTGGTGGGATTTATATGGTTTTGGGTTAATCTCTTTTGCCAAGATCTGATTGCCTCATAGTCAGAATTTTGGCCTGGCTTCCAGGAGGCTTCAGGTGGGTATTAGAATGGTCCTGGTGCAATATCCAGTCTTTGCAGCCCATGTTATAGCTTGGGGAGTTATTGATTGGTCCATAAAAAAACAGCGTTGAATGTAATGAAACACCATTTTCTGGGTGAGACCCAGAGGCTCCCCGTACCTATCCAGGCTGATATGCTAATGTCAGACTTTGGCATCAGTCATGTGTATGGAGTTCTTTGAGCCTACCGGGGACCACGAACCAGAACCTGGTCCCCTCAGAGAGGCAAGGGGAGCAATGGCCTATAGATACCCCCGTGTGGTTGGAAGCATTCTGTGTCTGCCATCGACCGGGTCAGGCACCCAGAAAAGTAAGCATCCCAAAACAAACCCCTATTCTGGTGAAAATATTGCTACCAAAAGCCAAACAAGTGGATAGAACTCCCCAAACAAAAACGAGCAAACTAGTGTGACGTCACCTATTGCTGCGTCGCCGTCTGCGCAGCTCCCCCCTACCCAGGAGGGGGAAGGGGGAACCCCAGACCCACTGTGCCGGCGATCCACACCCCAGTTCTGAGGCTGGATGTCAAAACACCAAAAAAAACTGCCGAATGGAAGGAGGGAGGGATGCCGGGGAGCCTCTGGGTCTTGTCCGGAAAATGATGTTTCATTACATTCAGCACCGGTTTTCTGGGAGGGAGTCCCTACGGCTTCCCGGAGCTAACTATCCACAGAGGAAAAAAAGAGGGCCCGACTGGGCCCTCTTTTTTTATAATGTTCCAGGCTGTTTTTCTGGGCTGGAACAGAAACAAGACTGGGACAAGACTGGGCCTTGTTAACATCTGGAACAAGCTGGGCCTTGTTAACATTTCTGGGCCCGACTGGGCCCAGAGATGTTAACAAGGTAACGAGTAGCCAGGACCCTGGCTACTCGTTAATTCAAGCAGCGCCTGAAACCACGGCTGGGCTGGCCACCACGGGGCCAAGAGGACAACTCTCCCCTGGTAAGTCTCCAAGTGAATCGACACGGAGCAACAGCAGAACCGGGGGAAAGAGGTAAAGCAACCCCCACCTTGACCAGTCCTGCCAGAAGGCATCGACCCCGATGGCCTCGCAGTCGGGGAAGGGCGCCACATACTGGGGAAGGCGCCACGACCAAGCTGACGCGAAGAGGTCCACCTCGGGGTGTCCGAACGTCTGGCAAAGCCAACTGAAGGAGTCGACGTCGACCGTCCATTCCGTGGAGAGAGGAACGAAAGGAGACAGGCCGTCGGCCAAGACGTTGGACTCTCCCCGCATGTGAACTGCCAGGAGAGCCAAACCCCGAGAACTCAGCAGACGAGTCACCCGAAGCGACCAGCGCCAAAGAGCCAAGGACCACATCAAACCCCCCCGATTCAGACAACGAACCACTGGGGAGCAGTCCAAATGGAGTCGGATCGTCGACCCGCAGGTGACCCGAAGCCCCAAAGAGCAAACCACACCGCCGCGAATTCCCGCACCGTGCTGTGGGCTTGTCGGAGAGATGGACCCCACCGTCCATGGCCAGCCTGGTCACAAAGTCCCAGCCAAAAGATGACCCGTCCGTGAACACATAGAGCGAGGGCTCAGGTAGGCGCCAAGGCACTGAATCCCGAAAAACCCGAAGAGGAAGCCGGCGATGCAGCAACTGACGCAAGGCCAGCAGGGTCCGAACCCAGCAATGACGAGAGAGGCGGAAGAGACGTCCCCGTGTAAGAGAGAGAGACTTGTGTAAGGAAAAATAGCAGTGCTATTGAGAGAGACCCCTTGTATAGGGAGAAATAGCAGTGTATTATGGAAGAGAGAGACCCTTGTGTAGGGATAAATAGCAGTGTTAAATGTTGAAAAAACAGTCTGGAACTCTGACCCCTTTCAGATGCACAGAGCATCATCTCAACAGGAAAATGTAATCTCTTATAAAGAAAACCCAATGTAAACAAAAGGGATAAAATGGTTAAGAAAAAGCAGATTCACTGCAAGAAAATATAGAGAAACAACAGTGTTAAATGTAGAAAAACAGCCTGGAACATTATAAGACATATAAATGAAATATTGGGAAATGTGTATGACATGTATAGGGAGGGGACATTATTGGAACCAGGCAGGCAGGGACATGTGCAAGCCCCTATCAGTCACTTGGGAGAGGGAGGCAGTGACAACCAGACCTGTGTTGTGGCCCAAGCGAAGCCACTCCAAGATGACCTGACAGAGCGCAGGGAAAGAGGCCTGCCCTGCCAGCCCTGAACCCCCTGAAGGGAGGGGGGCCCACCCAATGCCACCCAGCCACGCGAAACGACCCAAAAAACCCATGAAACGTGGACCAGGCGTGAGCGAACAGTGCAAACCTTCCCCCCCCATCGCCCCGTCAATGGGGTGCACTGCGAAAGGGCCGGCGCCCCTTACAAGACCCAGAAACTCGCACAGAGGGAACACCGCACCGACCAGGTGAAGGCGGGTCCAAAGGAGGAGCCGAACCCGAACCCGAACCCAACACCAGTGGCCTACCACGACGAGAGGGACCCCGAGCCTTGGCATGACCCTTCCGGGAAGGCCCACCACGGGACCCCCGGAGAACCAGCAAGTCCGACATAGGATGGCAAGAAGCCGAAGCAGCCTGAATATACTTCGCAACAGCTGAAGCCTCAAACAGGAGAGGACAAAAAGGCGAAGACATCCTAAGAGCCAAGGCTCAAGTGGATTCCACAGAAGAGGCAAGCATCGCCTGCCGACACGCGATCTGGGAAGCATAAAACAACGCCACCACATCCCGCAAGATCAGCGTGAAAAGCTTCAGCAAGGCAGCCAACGAGCAAGCTGCCGAGGTGAAGGCGCCAGAACCAGGAACAGCCCCAAGCGCCCCTACATCCTCCGCAAGCCAGTCCGAAGACAGCTCGAGGAGGGAAAATTAAAGCAAGGCCGAAGCCAAAAGGCCCTGGGCGCTCAAGTCCTCAGCCACCAGCGCCGCCGAAAGGGAGGGAACCTGCACATGGAACTGAACAACACCAAGGAAGGGCAGGAGCAAACAAGCACTCATTGAGGTGCTTTAGGTCGCCCCCCAGGAAAACCTGTAGCACCGTCGAAGCCTCCTGTCACTCATGCGTGTGGAACCGCAGGAGTAGTGCCAGGCCTCCAAGCTAAAGACAGGACAGTCCGCCAGCCAGGATGACTCCAAAACCTCGTAACGGAGCCAGAAATGGAACGAAGTCCCAAACCTGAAAGCCGAGGGTTCCATTGCCGAGGCATAATCCGGATCACGCAGGTGGTTTGCCCAAGGGCTGCCCGCACCGCAGCAGGTTGGATGCAATAAGCCAAAAACCTCCGGAAAGACGGAACCAAAGCACCCGGGGGAACACGGAACCAAACCAGGGAGGAGCAGACTCCAAGTCCAACTTGTATGCAGAGAAGGGAAAAGAAAACCCCACTCCTTGTAACAGTGAGCCCCACTCAGAGGGCAGAAAAACCCAGGCAGGGTCCAGTGGGGCCCAAGGCCCCCAAGTCAGCCCCTCCCCAGCCTCAAGGTCCTTCTCCGCAGGACCCGGATCCAAGTCCTCCCCCCAAGCATCGACCCTACCAGACAAGGCCGGCGCAGCCATAGAAGCCGGATAGAAGGGGGCTCACTGGTCAGACCCAGAGGCTTCAACCAGGGGGGAGTAAACTCAGATGCCTCTGTCGCCACACCGGAAGGGGCATCCCTCGAGGCTGCCCAAGTCTCAAGATCAACTAACCCCAGCTCCTACTCCGAAACCCTCAGACATTTCGGGTCTCAAAACAGGGGAGGGGGACCAGAACGAACAACAGGAGGGGATGAACGAGGAGGTGCGGACTGAACCAGGGTCGAAGCGACCCCCACCCCCAAGTTCGGGTCCCTATAAGCAAAACGGGGCAGCCGCGGGGCATCCGGGTGAGCAACCAACCAAGTGCGTTGCAACAAACGTAACTTAGAATGCAACGCCTGTGCAGCCTCTACCCGAAGATGATCATCCACAGGTTGGGTAAATTGAGTCACCAGCAAGCAGCAAAACTCACAGGACTTAGGGTCCAAAGTGTCACCGACCCAGCAGGCAGCGTGCCGGAGGCAAAAACCGTGAGAGTAGCCCAGAGACAAGGGGACCGAACAACCCTCAAACTCGCATGAAGCGAAGGGGAACTCCGGGGTCACATCCATTGGACACATGCGTCCCCTAGGGGATTCCCAGGGTCCTGAGCATTTACTATAAGAGGACTCACGCTCAGGTAAACCCAGGCAGGGTACTGCTCACCGGTGCCCAAAACTACCAACAAACTGTCTACAGCTGAACCCCAGGGACGTGTACGTTCACGGGGACCTAGCAGAGGGCACCACCAAGTATCAGGATGAAGCCAAACACCAGTGGCAAGTAAGGCAGGATCCCCTACCAAGGCAAAAAGAAAAAGAAAAACAAAACCCCACAAGAGGACAACGTACCCCAAGGAACAGAGCCGGCCGGTGTGATTGGTGACAAGCTGCACAGCACCCTGTGCCCCTTACCAGTGCAAAACTGCCTCCCTCCCTAAGGTAAACTAGGAAGACAAAACACCCAAGTACCCAAAGGGCAGCCGAAAAACCGAGCAGTTAAATGGACCCACAGAAGCAGGTTCCAAGGAACCTGTGGAAGGTGACCCCAAGCTCCAAGGGCAGTGCTTACAGGACACCAAGGGAAGGGAACCCTAGGCGCATGTAGTCCGAGTACTGAAGAATAACTCCTGGCTCTCGCACCCCTGGAGAACAGCCACCACGTAAAAGGCACAGCGCCATAAAAGTTTAGAGCTAGAGCACACAACCGATGCCTATAGCATCATCCTCAAGAACTGGGGTGTGGATCACCGGCGCGGTGGGTCTGGGGCTCCCCCTACCCCTCCAAGGGAGGGGGGAGCTATGCAGACGGTAGTGCGGCAATAGATGACATCAGACTAGTTTGCTCTTTTCTTTTGGGTTTTTGGTAGCAATATTTTCACCAGAATATGGGGTTTGTTTTGGGATGCTTACCTCTCTCGGTGCCTGATCCAGTCGATGGCAGACATAGAATGCTTCCAACCACAAGGAGGCCTCTATAGGCCATTGCTTCCCTTGCCTCTCTGAGGGGGCCAGGCCCTGGCCGTGGTCCCCGACAGGCCCAAAGAACTCCATACACATGACTGATGCCAAAGCCTGACATTAGCATATCAACCTGGATAGCTCCGGGAAGTCGTAGGGGCTTCCCCCAGAAAAGGGTGATTTATTTCATTCAATGCTTGATTTTATATGTATTCCTCAACATTATGTGGAATCACAATTTTGTTTTCCTTTTCGTGTCTCTTGTTCATATTTCTGTTTTACAAAATATTTAACATTAAATACTGAACTTGTTACATTGATCAGGAATGAACATGTGTACACTGCAGCAGTGTGTGGACCAGCACTCTACTATTACCACCAAGACTTTTCCATTAGAATGGTGGAGTGGCTGGAATCTTTAAGGGCCCAGGGAATCTCTCAGGTGTTTCTGTATGAAACAGACATCCATCCTAACCTTCAGAAGGTTCTGCGTTATTATGAGAAAGACAGGTTCATCCAAGTAACCAAATACTCTTATCCACCTCCGTACATCAATGAGCCCAGCATTCGCAGGTTAGTATTGCTTGATATGTTTATTGCAGTATATTACACATGGTAATAGGTAATGATCTATTATTATATGGTTGCCTAATCATTACATGAGTTTTTTTGTTCTTTTTTTAACTTAACCACTCAACAGTATTATAAATACAAGTTTTTAAATTATATGATGATATTTTTATTTGTAACGAAGATGCATTTGGTTTTGTAATATTTTGCTGCATACATATTTAAATTAGTACAGTGATAGCTACAATTTATGGATAAATTTATAAGTTAGGTACACTTTTGTTGAGCCACTACTATGTATAGCATTTCAGGCAAACCTTTAAAGCTATCAAAATGATATAGGAATACTTGGTGAAAATAAGAGCTGTACAATACTTGAAGAGTTTGCAGTGATTTGGTAATTAACAAACGTACTGTACAGTATAGCCAATCTTAAATAAAATACAGTACTTAAAAGTAGTAAATATGTTGGCTGGTTATAATGAAGAATAATTCTGCACTGATGAGGAAGTTGTATTTTTAGAATGTAATTTTGTAAACTACTAATACAATGTTCATGAGTAAATATGATTTATTATTGCAGAGTTTAAAACAAGCTGAATAACAGTCAAGTGCATCTTTACCTCGCCCCACCTTCACCTCCCTGACCCCGCCCCGCCTTCACCTCCCTGACCTCGCCCCGCCTTCACCTCCCTGACCTCGCCCCACCTTCTCCTCCTGACCTCGCCCCACCTTCACCTCCCTGACCCCGCCCCGCCTTCACCTCCCTGACCTCGCCCCACCTTCACCTCCCTGACCTCGCCCCACCTTCACCTCCCTGACCTCGCCCCGCCTTCACCTCCCTGACCTCGCCCGCCTTCACCTCCCTGACCTCGCCCCACCTTCACCTCCCTGACCTCGCCCCACCTTCACCTCCCTGACCTCGCCCCGCCTTCACCTCCCTGACCTCGCCCCACCTTCACCTCCCTGACCTCGCCCCGCCTTCACCTCCCTGACCTCGCCCCGCCTTCACCTCCCTGACCTCGCCCCACCTTCACCTCCCTGACCTCGCCCCACCTTCACCTCCCTGACCTCGCCCCGCCTTCACCTCCCTGACCTCGCCCCGCCTTCACCTCCCTGACCTCGCCCCGCCTTCACCTCCCTGACCTCGCCCCGCCTTCACCTCCCTGACCTCGCCCCGCCTTCACCTCCCTGACCTCGCCCCGCCTTCACCTCCCTGACCTCGCCCCGCCTTCACCTCCCTGACCTCGCCCCGCCATCACCTCCCTGACCTCGCCCCGCCTTCACCTCCCTGACCCCGCCCCGCCTTCACCTCCCTGACCTCGCCCCGCCTTCACCTCCCTGACCTCGCCCCGCCTTCACCTCCCTGACCCCGCCCCGCTTTCACCTCCCTGACCCCGCCCCGCTTTCACCTCCCTGACCTCGCCCCGCCTTCACCTCCCTGACCTCGCCCCGCCTTCACCTCCCTGACCCCGCCCCGCCTTCACCTCCCTGACCTCGCCCCGCCTTCACCTCCCTGACCTCGCCCGCCTTCACCTCCCTGACCTCGCCCGCCTTCACCTCCCTGACCTCGCCCCGCCTTCACCTCCCTGACCTCGCCCCGCCTTCACCTCCCTGACCTCGCCCCGCCTTCACCTCCCTGACCTCGCCCCGCCTTCACCTCCCTGACCTCGCCCGCCTTCACCTCCCTGACCTCGCCCCGCGACCTCGCCCCGCCTTCACCTCCCTGACCTCGCCCCGCCTTCACCTCCCTGACCTCGCCCCGCCTTCACCTCCCTGACCTCGCCCCGCCTTCACCTCCCTGACCTCGCCCCGCCTTCACCTCCCTGACCTCGCCCGCCTTCACCTCCCTGACCTCGCCCCGCCTTCACCTCCCTGACCTCGCCCCGCCTTCACCTCCCTGACCTCGCCCCGCCTTCACCTCCCTGACCTCGCCCCGCCTTCACCTCCCTGACCTCGCCCCGCCTTCACCTCCCTGACCTTGCCCCACCTTCACCTGCCTATCCCATCTCCTCTTCCCATTTTTCACCTCACTGGTCACACCCCTACTCTTACCTCACTAGTCTCATCTTGCCTCTTTTTTACCCTTATAATCACTGTTCCTCTGTCTTTAGCATTTGTAGAACTCTTTTCATTCAAAACATTATTTGTAGTTAAAGTGTAATTTCATATTGGCATTTCTGTACATCATTGTCAGCATTGCATTCTTTTACTATTTATATTTATACAGGTATTTATTTATTGGGTGATGAAGTTTATAAATAGATATATTTTGGGTGAACATATAGATTATGGACTTTGGTGGAGCGTAAGAAGATGTGGGCCCAAGAGAATGTATACTTCACTGACTGCTTGCTCCGTCACATGCACCAGTACCGCTTTATTGCACACTACGACCCTGATGAGTTGCCAGTTTTGCTTCAACACCGCTCCTACACTGACATGCTAAATGAAATTTTACGCAAGTGAGTATGATATCTAGCAACTCTTAGTTCAGTATTGTGGACATGAACTGGGTGTTTTGGGCAAGATTTTTTCAAAGAGAAAATGAAAGAAGGGGCAATAACGAAAGTAAATAAATATATTTGTTTGAATTGCACCAACTGTATTATAGATGAAGTTTGTAAAACAATTCTTAATGTATTGCAGTGTTGTACTTTATGCTAGTGGAAGCCATTATTATAAGAATAATTACCATATGATAGATTAAAATTAATTTACTGTTTTTGTTTTAATTATTTAGTTTTGTAATACAGGTACACAAATTATTTGAAACATTAATTAAAAATGAGAGAAAAATTATAGGAATAATAATTAAAAAATAATATAGCTTGAACAAGTAGTGATACTAGCCATGGTATTGGATATAAACTTAGTGATTGTGAGAAGCATTAGCAGAGTTGCAAAATAATGATGTTTTTCAGGGAAGTTGACGTTAAGTGTAATCAAGGTACAAAAACTATCAGGAGAAACTAGTACAACTATATAGCATACAAATGTAATCAAATAGTAACTGTATTTCATGATTTTAAAACTAAAGGTAAGAATAAAAGTTTAGATGGTAATTTAGGATATAGAGTTCGTATATGGATTGTAAGTGTTTTGTGTAGTTTTACCTATGGTAAAGGAAGAAAATGGAAGAAAATACAAAATTGAACCAATGAAGAGCAGAGGTGCCATAGGCACAATCAGAGAACACTGTATAAACATCAGAGGGCCACGGTTGTTCAACGTCCTCCCAGCGACTATAAGAAATATTGCCGGAACAACCGTGGACATCTTCAAGAGAAAACTGGACTGTTTTCTAAGAGAAGTGCCGGACCAACCTGGCTGTGGTGGGTATGTGGGCCTGCGGGCCGCTCCAAGCAACAGCCTGGTGGACCAAACTCTCACAAGTCGAGCCTGGCCTCCAGCCGGGCTTGGGGAGTAGAAGAACTCCCAGAACCCCATCGAGCAGGTATCAAGCAGGTACCTGAGGTCCACCATTTCTTTTAGCGGCTTCAACGGAGACAGGAAGGTGTCAGCTTGTCATAGGTCCCCTCCTTGCCCCCTACCACTGGATAAGCACCTCCAAAGGATACCTGATCAACCAGGCTGTGACTCATACGTCAGGCTGCGAGCAGCCGCGTCCAACAGCCTGGTTGATCAGTCCGGCAACCAGGAGGCCTGGTCGACGACCGAGCCGCGGGGACGCTAAGCCCCGGAAGCACCTTGAGGTTACCTTGAGGTGCTTCCGGGGCTTAGCATCCCCGCGGCCCGGTCGTCGACCAGGCCTCCTGGTTGCCGGACTGATCAACCAGGCTGTTGGACGCGGCTGCTCGCAGCCTGACGTACGAGTCACAGCCTGGTTGATCAGGTATCCTTTGGAGGTGCTTATCCAGTTCTCTCTTGAACACTGTGAGGGGTTGGCCAGTTATGCCCCTTATGTGTAGTGGAAGCGTGTTGAACAGTCTCGGACCTCTGATGTTGATAGAGTTCTCTCTCAGAGTACCAGTTGTACCTCTGTTTTTCAACGGGGGTATTCTGCACATCCTGCCATGTCTTCTGGTCTCATGTGATGTTATCTCTGTGTGCAGGTTTGGGACCAGCCCCTCTAATATTTTCCACGTGTAAATTATTATGTACCTCTCCCGCCTGCGCTCAAGGGAGTACAGTTTTAGGCTCTTTAGTCGGTCCCAATAGTTTAGATGTTTTACTGAGTGGATTCTAGCAGTAAAGGATCTCTGCACGCTCTCCAGGTCAGTAATTTCTCCAGCTTTGAAAGGTGCTGTCATTGTGCAGCAGTACTCCACTCTAGAGAGCACAAGCGTTTTGAAAAGTATCATCATCGGTATAGCATCTCTAGTGTGAAAAGTTCTTGTTATCCAACCTGTCATTTTTCTTGCAGTTGTGACGGCTACTTTATTGTGTTCTTTAAAGGTAAGGTCTTCCGACATGAATACACCCAGATCCTTTACATTGCCTTTTCGTTCTATGTTATGATTTGCCTGAGTTTTGTACGTGGTTTCCGTTTTTATATTTTCATTTTTTCCATAGCGCATGAGCTGGAACTTATCTTCGTTAAACACCATATTATTTTCTGTAGCCCATAGAAAGACCTGATCTACATCTGACTGGAGGTTCGCCGTGTCCTCTATGTTGCCTACTCTCATGAAGATCCTAGTGTCATCTGCAACAAAGGATGATACAGTGCTATAGGTTGTGTTCTTGTCTATGTCTGAAATGAGGATGAGAAAAAGTACTGGAGCAAGCACAGTACCCTGGGGGACTGAGCTCTTCACGGTTGATGGGCTGGATTTTATTTTGTTGACTATTACACATTGGGTTCTGTTGGTCAGGAAATTGTAGATCCATCTGCCTATTTTTCTGGTAATTCCTTTTGAACGCATTTTATGTGCAATAACACCATGGTCACATTTATCAAAAGCTTTTGCGAAATCTGTGTAAATTACATCCGCGTTATGTTTGTCTTCCATAGCATCTAATGCCATATCATAGTGGTCCAGCAACTGCAACAGGCAAGAGCGCCCTGTTCTGAAACCATGTTGTCCGGGGTTATGGAGCTGCTGTGATTCCATGTATTTTGTGATTTTACTTCTTAGCACTCTCTCAAAAATTTTTATGATGTGCGATGTTAGCGCTATCGGTCTAATTTTTTGCCTCTGCCTTATTTCCTCCTTTATGAAGTGGTGCTATCTCTGCTGTTTTTAGTATATCAGGAATAACGCCAGTATCTAGGCTTTGTCTCCACAGAATGTGGAGGGCTTGCGATAGTGGTTTTTTACAGTTCTTTATGAATATGGAGTTCCAAGAATCCGGGCCTGGTGCAGAGTGCATAGGCATACTGTTTATGGCTTCTTCAAAATCCAGTGGGGATAGGGTGACGTCTGATATATGATTTGATGTTGGTATCGTATCCATGAAAAATTCATTTGGGTTATCAATCTTTAGTGTGTTTAATGGCTCGCTGAAAACAGTCGTACTGCGTCCTCAGTAGCTCGCTCATTTCTTTGTTGTCATCGGTGAAAGTTCCATCTCCCTTTCGCAGGGGCCCGATACTAGATGTGGTTTTTGATCTTGATTTTGCATAGTAGAAAAAATATTTCGGATTTCTTTCTATTTCACTGATGGCCTTTTGCTCTCTTTGCCTCTCCTGGGTTTTGTATGATTCTTGTAGCTTCCGTTCAATTGTTTCTATTTCTCTACCTAACCACCTTCGCCGTTCTTGAGATAGGGTGCGACTCTCAAGTTGTTCCGCGATTCGTTTTCTTCGCCTATATAGGGAACGACGTTCCCGTTCCAATCTGCATCTCTTCCTCTTTTTTCTTAGAGGTATGCGGTTTGAACATATTTCTAGTGCTACTGAGCTTATTTAGGTAACCTCAAGGTAAGGTACCACCATTTTTTCTTGGGAACTAATTGCCAGTATAGTACAGTATATGAAGTTGCAGTTCATTCCTTCTAGCACTATAAAATGTAGGATAAAAAAAAACTGTGTTTCTGAAATTTATGTAAGACATTTATACCATCTTTTGCACTCTCCTGAGAGCTTTTTCAAGGTCTGAGTGTGTGATTAGGACGAGACTTACATCTCAACGTCTAATCTCAGCACTCAGGAGAGTGCAAAAGACAGTGTAAAATCCTTACGTAAATTTCACAAATACATAAGTGTGGGTTTTCTGGGGGGAAGCCCCTGCAGCTCCCCAGAGCTATCCAGGCTGATATGCTAATGTCAGACTTCGGCATCAGTCATATGTATGGAGTTCTGTGGGCCTACTGGGGATCACGAGCCAGAACCTGGCCCCCTCAGAGTGGCATGGGGAGCAATGGTCTATAGAAACCCCTGTGTGGTTGGAAGCATTCTGTGTCTGCCATCAACTGGGTCAGGCACCCAGAAAGGTAAGTGTCCCAAAACAAACCCCTATTCTTGTGAAAATTGTTACAAAAACCGAACAAGTGGATAGAACTCCCACAACAGAAACGAGCATGACGTCACACGTCGCCGTGCCACTGTCTGTGCAGCTTCCCCCTTCCCGGGAGGGGGAAGGGGGAAGCCCCAGACCCCCACGCCGGCCATCCACCTCTCAGTTCTGAGGTTGATGCTAGAGGCAGTGGTTGTGCGCTCTGGCTCCAGTGATTGTTCCAGCACTGTGCCTTGTGTTTGGTGGCTGTCTTCCAGAGGTGCATGAGCCAGGAGTTATTCTACAGTACTAGGGCTGCATGCGCCTAGGGTTCCCTTCCCTAGGTGCCCTGTAAGTACTGCCCTTGGGGCTTGGGGGCCACCTTCCACAAGTTCCTTAGGTCCTGCCTCTGCTGGGCCGTTCTGCTGCTCGGTACTTCGGCCACCTTTGGGTGCTTGGGTGTTTTGTCTCCCTTGTTTACCTTAGAGTAAGAGGCAGTTTGTACTGGTAAGGGACACGGGGTACTGCACAGCTTGTTTTCACCATTCATAGCGGCTGGCTCTGTTTCTTTAGAGTATGCTGTCCTCTTGCGGGGTTTGATTTTTATTTTTGTTGCATGTCTTGATTGTTGCCCCCCTTTATACCTGTCCTGACTCGCTTGGAGACTTACCAGGGGAGAGTAGTCCTCTTGGCCCCGTGGTGGCCGGCCCAGCCGTGGTTTCAGGCGCTGCTTGTAGGATAAGGTAAGGGAGAGAAGTAGGAGGAAGGGGAGAGAGATGCAGAGCAACACAGTAGAGATGTTTACACCACGACGCCAGCCAGAGAAGGAAGCCAGCCTCGAGTCTCAGCTTACTCCAGCTGACTCGCTGCCGGCCGACTACTCAGCTAATTGTACAGCAGCCCTATATTCAAGTTTACTCAGATCTACTTTACTAATACTTTCTAATCATTTGTAAACATAGTTGATGCCTATTTTATTAATTAATAATCAACCACAAACCCAGTCTTTAAATGCTCTGTGAGAAACAAGATTCGTCTTATGTCTGGCAAGGAAGATACGAACAGAGGCACGTCGACAAGCGCATCAAATATTATAAAGTAATTTATTTAGCTCAATTTGACCTCTGGTTTCCACTGATGAACCCAGGGTCGTAACACCCTCCGCCGTTATTTGCGCGCCACAGCATTCTGTGTCCGGGGATGCACTTTGGGTTGATCCGGTTTCCCTTCTTCCCTGTTCGCGGGTGCGGGTCTCCCAGGTCGTCCACAAGCTTATTAAGGCTAGACACCCTGCAGTCTATCCCCGTGCCCATGACATTCGTACGTTCGCTGCTCTTGCTGCCGTCTTTGGCAACATGTCCTGGGCTGACATTCGGGCACGGGTCTTGGCTGTGTGCTACCTCGTGAATGTTCCTGGGCCTAGTCGGGCCTGTGTCGCTTTAGGTCGGCAGTTGCAGCCTGTTGTCTTGACTTCGGGTTGAGGAGTAAGAGGCGACCGCCTCCTGGGTAAGTCCCTCTAATTTTTCTCTGTTGGTAGTTAGCTCCGGGGAGCCGCAGGGGCTCCCCCCCCAGAAAACCATCGTTAAATGTAATGAAACGCCATTTTCTGGGCGAGACCTGGAGGCTCCTCGGCATCCCTCCCTCCCCAGGTCGTTTTGTTTTTTCACGTGTTTTGAGGTCCAGCCTCAGAACTGAGAGGTGGATGGCCGGCATGGTGGTCTGGGGCTCCCCTTCCCCCACCCCCCCATCCCCGTGGGGAGGGGGGAGGTGTGCAGACAGCGGCGACGTGTGACGTCATGCTTGTTTGCTCGTTTCTGTTTGGGGCATTCTATCCACTTCTTCGGCTTTTTATAGCAATTTTCACCAGAATAGGAATTTGTTTGGACGCTTACCTTTCTGGGTGCCTGACCCAGTCGATGGCAGACATAAAATGCTTCCAACCACATGGGAGTTTCTATAGGTCATTGATCCCCATGCCTCTCTGAGGGGGCCAGGTTCTGGCTCGTGGTCCCCGGTATGCCCACAGAACTCCATACACATGACTGATGATAAAGTCTGACATTAGCATATCAGCCTGGATAGCTCTGGGGAGCCTCCGGGTCTCACCCAGAAAATGGCGTTTCATTACATTCAATGCTGGTTTTTGCTAGCTTTGTTATAATGCAGTACAGTATCTCGAATAACCAAGTAGGGACAGTGTAAAAAAAAAAAATCCCCACTGCATCTTAACTGTTACAGATCTGAACCTAAGATCAGAAGGATCTTACCTTATAGAGCAACTGAGGTGAATATTTCAGACAAAGGGCGATATTTTGAATAACTATCTTGTGTTGTATGTAATGTTTAAAATGTTTCTTTGTAGGTCATACATCAAGAATGCAAGACAACCCATTGGCTACAAACTTCAGTGGAATATGTTTTATTATGATGTTGAGCCACCAGCCAGCACTCGTGGTCTACCTGAGTTCCTGTACATGTTGCGCCATATCTTGAGAACCAAGACAGATCTTCTTCCAACATCAGCTGGGATGTACAAAGCAGTCTATGACATGGATTATACCACGGGTGTCTCCTCACATGTTGTCATCACCTGTAATTCTGGTAAAGAGGTGCAATGTTTTTCTGCAATATTTAAATTATTTTAATTTTACAAGGAAACCTAAGTTTTGCATAGTAACTTAAATGTTACATATATTCTCCTCCCTTGTTACACCACCAGTATAACTTGCTTCCTGTAACTACACTTTGGTAATTGTATATATTTTCCTCCCTTGTCAATTATAGAAAGTATGGAATTGGTTTAAAGGCCGTACATAAATAGAAAAATACAATTTTATTTACGTTTACAACACTGATAGGATACATTCACCTTATTTTAAGTTAGGATTTATGATTGGACTTTAAAGTTGAAATGTCAGTAAATAAAAGACAAGTAATTGGATTGTAGAAGAGAACTGCACTACTAAAACTCACAACATAGGAGATGCCTGAAAATTAGTGGACATTTTCTGTTGTTTTTCTGGGGGGGAGCCCCGTTGGCTCCCAGAAGCTATGCAGGCTGATGTGCTAATGTCAGACTTTGGCATCAGTCATGTGTATGGAGTTCTGTGGGCCTACCGGGGACCACGAGCTAGAACCTGGTTCCCCTCACCCCCTCACAGATGCACGAGGAGCAATGGCCCCATGTGGTTGGAAGCATTCTATGTCTGCCAACAACCGGGCTAGGCATCCAGAAAGGTAGGCGTCCGAAAACAAACCCCAGTTTTCTGGTGAAAATGCTACAAAAAGCCAAACAAGTGGATAGAATTTCCCAAACAGAAACGCGCAAACAAGTATGATGTCACATGTTGCCGCGCAGCCATCTGCAAAGCTCCCACCCTCCCAATAAGGGGAAAGGGGAAGCCCCAGAGCCCCGTGCCGGCCATCCACACCCCAGTTCTGAGGTTGATGGTATAGGCAGAAGTCGTGTGCTCTGGCTCCAGTGGTTGTTTCAGCACTGTGCCTTGTGTGGTGACTGTCTTTAGGTGGTGCGCGAGCTGGGAGTTATTCCTCAGTACTCAGGCTACATGCACCTAGGACTCCCTTCACAAGGTGCCCAGTAAGTACTACCCTTGGGGCTTGGGGCCACCTTCCACAAGTTCCTCGTTCTGCCTCTGCTAGGCTGTTTACTGCTTGGTTTTCGGCCGCCCTTTGTGTGCTAGGGTGTTATGTCTCCCTTGTTCGCCTTAGGGTCGGGGAGCAGTTTGCACTGGTAAGGGGCACAGGGTACTACGCAGCTCGTTTTCACCAATCATAGCGGCCGGCTCTGTTCTGCCTGGGTACGCTATCCTCTTGCAGGGTTTTCTTTTTCTTTTTGTTTAGGGGGGAGGTCTGCCTTGGTTATTGCCCCCTGTGTACTGAGTACTCTTCTCTCTTCCGGTGGTACCCCCTGCTTGATCCCTGTGAGTGTAGGGGCTCTTAGAAAGTCGTTTTGTAGACTTGTGCGTCGGTTAGCAGTACCCTGCCTGGGCTTCCCTGGACATGAGTTCCGTCTCAGGACCCTGGGAATCCCCACGGGGGTGTGTGGGTCCGATAGATGTGACCTCTGAGTCCTCCCTCGCTTTGTGCGAGTTCGCGGGCTGCTCTGTCCCCTTGTCTCAGGGTGACTCACTGTTTTTGCCTCTGTCTGCTGCCTATTGGGTCGGTGGCACCTTCGACCCGGAGTCCTGAGAGTTTTGTTGCTTGTTTGTGACTCGGTTATCTACTCTTATGCTGGCTATGCGAGTGCAGGCAACACGGGTGTTGCACGTTGGGTTCAGGTGGTTGCAAGGCGCTAGGGTCTTTGCTCCCCAGAAGCCCCAAGGCTGCCCCGTTTTGGTTGTTGTGCCGGGGCTTGGGGGTGTTGGTTGCTTCGGTTTTCTTTCCATCCGTGCCCCCTTGTCTTTTCCCTGTTGTGGTTTAGTCTGGTCACTTCCCCCTTCCTCCCTGCATCCAGATCCTCACCGTCTGTGGGTTCGGGGTCGGGGCGGGGATTCGATGGTTTTGAGACTTGCGGTCTCAGGGATTTCCCCTTCTGGGGTAGCGACAGAGGCATTCGAGCGTGTTCCTCCAGCCTTGTTGTATGAGTCTGCCAGTGGGCTCTCTTCCTTAGTAATTTTCCGGCTGCCCCGGGTTTTTCTTGTGTGGCTGGGGCTTTGGGGGGACGGCTCAGCTCTGGGTCCTGCAATGTAGGTTCCCGGGGCTGGAGAGGGGCTGACTTGGGGGCACCTCGAGCCCTGTTTGACCCCGCCGGGGTTTTCTACCCTCTGAGCGAGGCTTGCGGTTATGGAGAGTGGGTTTTTTTCCTCTTCCCCCCCCCCCCCCCCCCCCCCCCCCCCCCCACCCGTCTGCATACGAATTATTGGGCATTGGCCCCTCCCTGATTTCGGTTCCTTGTTCCTTCGGGTCCATCTGTTCCATCCTATCAGTAATTACCTAAGTGTAATTACCTAAGTGTAATTACAGGATGAGAGCTACGCTCGTGGTGTCCCGTCTTCCCAGCACTCTGTCATATAACGCTTTGAAACTACTGACGGTCTTGGCCTCCACTACCTTCTCCCCTAACTTGTTCCAACTGTCTACCACTCTTGTTTGCGAAAGTGAATTTTCTTATATTTCTACGGCATCTGTGTTTAGCTAGTTTATATCTATGACCTCTTGTTCTTAAAGTTCCAGGTCTCAGGAAATCTTCCCTATCGATTTTATCAATTCCTGTTACTATTTTGTATGTAGTGATCATATCACCTCATTTTCTTCTGTCTTCTAGTTTTGGCATATTTAATGCCTCTAACCTCTCCTCGTAGCTCTTGCCCTTCAGTTCTGGGAGCCACTTAGTAGCATGTCTTTGCACCTTTTCCAGTTTGTTGATGTGCTTCTTAAGATATGGGCACCACACAACCGCTGCATATTCTAGCTTTGGCCTAACAAAAGTCGTGAACAATTTCTTTAGTATATCGCCATCCATGTATTTAAAAGCAATTCTGAAGTTAGAAAGCGTGGCATAGGCTCCTCGCACAATATTCTTTATGTGGTCCTCAGGTGATAGTTTTCTATCTAGAACCACCCCTAGATCTCTTTCTTTATCAGAATTCTTTAAAGATTTCTCACATAATATATAGGTTGTGTGGGGTCTATGTTCTCCTATTCCACATTCCATAACATGGCATTTATTAACATTAAATTCCATTTGCCAAGTGGCACTCCATGTACTTATTTTGTCCAGGTCTTCGTGAAGGGCATGACAATCATCTTAAGTTTCTTATCCGTCCTATTATCTTAGCATCATCAGCAAACATGTTCATATAATTCTGTATACCAACTGGTAGATCATTTATGTAGACAATAAACATCACTGGTGCAAGAACTGAACCCTGTGGTACTCCACTTGTGACATTTCTCCAGTCCGATACATTGCCTCTGATCACAGCCCTCATTTTTCTATCAGTCAGAAAATTTTTCATCTATGTTAGAAGCGTACCTGTCACTCCAATATTTTCCAGTTTCCAGAACAGCCTCTTATGTGGAACTCTGTCGAAAGCCTTTTTTAGGTCCAGATAGATGCAGTCAACCCAACTATCTCCTGTACTCTTGTACAGGAGATGTACAGTGTGTACTCTTCTCTGTTTTCTCACCCTTTTTCTCTGGGACAGGCCTTCTCTGTCATGTCGGGGTAATGTTCCCCTCATATCAGGGTTCTGCATGATCTTTGGTCACGGGTGCGACTGTGCCTTTATAAGCCTTCGTAATTTTGAGCTTGCTTCTGTAGGATCTCGAAGGTTCTGGAAGGTCTTCGATTCTTCCCGTATTATTGGAACATCTGTTGTCTTCCGGTGAGGCTTACCTCCAGTCCTTTCTAGGACTCGTTTGTCCTCTTCCATGCTTCTTCTTGGTATTCGGCTCTGTAGCCGTAGTAGTGCATACTGTCTCGTTCTTTTGTAATTACATCTTCTCTCCGTGCTCTTTGTTATGGACGGTGTACACTAGTGTTAGTGTTCCACGTTCTTTTTCTCTCGGGTGCTTCGCATCTTGCTCCTCTTATCTCTCCTGTCCGGGCCCCGTAGTTACTGGGGGTGTTCTGGATTACTGATATGAGAAACACGCCTAGTTTTTCTCTGCATACGGGTGTGGGGCACCGCATTCGCCTCTACCTTTCTCTTCTCCTGCATGTACGGCTCTGGCCTTCTTCCACTACCAATGAACCCGGAATATTCTCGGCTAAGATGTGTCCTGACACGTTCCTGCCTACGCTCTGCAGGTGAGTATATGCGGTCGGGCGTCTCATTCGGCCAGGCGCTGATTCATGGTTTTTAGATGAGTGTTGGGGATTGATTGTGGCATACAACTTGGATTTGGTGTTTGCCCCTTCCCGGGTTCGGTTCCGTGTCCCCTTGGGTGCGCCGGTTCCGTCTTTCCGGAGGTTTTCGGCATCCCGCATCCAACCGACTGCGGTGCGGGCGGCCCTCCTGCATGACCCGGATTATTCCTCAGTGATGGATCCGTCGTCTTGCAGGTTTGGGACTTCATTCTATTTCTGGGTCCATTACGAGGTTCCGGAGTCGTTGTGGCTGGCGGACTGTCCTGTCTTTGCTTTGGAGGCCTGGCATTCCTTCTGTCATTCCTGCATGCTTGAGTGGCACGAGGTTTCTCCTGTGGTTCAGGTTTTCCTGGGGGCGACCTTAAGCACCTCAATGAGTGCTTGTTTGCTCCTGCCCTTCCCTGGGATGTTGGTGTTCTGCAGCTCCATGTGCAGGTTCCCTCCCTTTTGGCTGCGCAGGTGGCCAAGGATTTGCGCACCAGGGGCCTTTTGGCTTCTGCCTTGCACTTCTTTTTCCCTCCTGGAGCTGTCTTCGGACTGGCTTGGGAAGGAAATGGGGACACTCGGGGCCATTCTGGGGTTCGGTGCCTTGGGCTCGGCTGCTCGCACATCGGCTACTTTGTTGAAGCTGTTTGCTCCGATCTTGAGGGATGCGGTTGCCCAGTTTTACTCTTCCCAGCTCGTGTGTCAACAGGCGATGCTTGCCTGCTCTCTGGAAGCGGCCTGGGCCCTAGCTCTTAGGGTGTCTTCTCCCTTTTGTCCGCTGCTT